CTGTTCCTCAAAACTATCACATATTAGAGAGTGAAATTATTTAACATTACATCACAGCGCCTAGTCTAGCATAGACCTTCCATGTAAGAATTGATTTGGAATTGGCTCAGTGATTGGCATTGGTTTCATTCAGACTGTTCCAGTCCTTTCTGGCTCGCTCCCTCTGAGTGGTTTCCTCGTTGCCGTGCGGACACTGGGCTGCATTGTTGAGTTCAAGAATAGATAGTCAATGAGGCTCATCGAGGACGAGCCTAAAGAGGAGAGAAGCGAAATAATGAAAGCAAAGGAACAGTAGAATGGGGGCTCTGTAGTGGGGACACAGTGTCGTTTCTCTGTGTTGCATAATGACACTGGTCTGTCACGACACAATGAACACACACACAAAGATCAGACTTGCAGATGGGGAGTGGAGTGTGTAAATGAGGTTTTTATGGAGTGAGGAGCTCAATAACAGCACATTACTGTCCGTCTGTCAGTATGTCTTATCACTTGTCTCGCCAATTGGTAGCCATGCTATTCAATATTGTGTATTTCCTTTTCTTTAAAGGGAGAAGACGCCTCCTAACAGTGTTTTCCCTTCAGTGTTGTTTCCTTTAACGCTGCAGTCAAAGACAAATAATGCCACACAGTCATGTTGTAATTGTATATATTGTAATTACATCTGGATGTGGTGATAATGAGAGGGGATGATGTTGATGAGTGCGAGCCAGATGTGCATTTAAAATGGGATTCTAGCATTGCTGCATCTGATGTTGCTCGTCTTTCTGCTAGAAACCAGCATGTCGGCTAGTTTATCTGTCTGCCCAACATGTTAAAACTCACCTTGCTTGCTCAGGATCTATGAACACTGGAATCCCTCTGTCTGTAAATGAAACACTCTGTACCTCCCTCTGGTGGTGAAGTTGAGATGCGGCAGGTCTGTTGAGGTGTGAAAAGAGGAGGGTGGCGTGTCACCAAGGGACGTGAAAGGAATTTAACAAGGCACCAGCCAACCACAAATGAGCATCACAGCAGATAAGCCATCGTTCTTTCTCAAATAGACACCAGGGAGCTTTCTCATCTGATCATCAAGGTCATCTGATGTCTTCTAAACTAGGTTTACATTTGTTTGGTGCATTTGAAAGATTAATGAGTTGGATCATTTCAGTGTGTTGTGGATAAATCATGATTTACAGTACGTATGTTTGTTTCTGCAGACACCCGGCACCTGATTAAGAGTGGCTGACAGCACATCTGTCTGTTTAGTGTTTATATATCCACCCAAATTGGGGATTAAGGTCACTTTAACAATAGGATGTTGGTCATAAATTTAAGAAGTTAATGTTTGACTAACGGTAAACAGAAATTCTAAACTCTGGCCATTGATTTATACACTGCTCAAAAAAATAAAGGGAACACTTAAACAACACAATGTAACTCCAAGTCAATCACACTCCTGTGAAATCAAACTGTCCACTTAGGAAGCAACACTGATTGACAATCAATTTCACATGCTGTTGTGCAAATGGAATAGACAACAGATGGAAATTATAGGCAATTAGCAAGACACCCCCAATAAAGGAGTGGTTCTGCAGGTGGTGACCACAGACCACTTCTCAGTTCCTATGCTTTCTGGCTGATGTTTTGGTCACTTTTGAATTCTGGCGGTGCTTTCACTCTAGTGGTAGCATGAGACGGAGTCTACAACCCGCACAAGTGGCTCAGGTAGTGCAGCTCATCCAGGATGGCACATCAATGCGAGCTGTGGCAAGAAGGTTTGCTGTGTCTGTCAGCGTAGTGTCCAGAGCATGGATGCGCTACCAGGAGACAAGCCAGTACATGAGGAGACGTGGAGGAGGCCGTAGGAGGGCAACAACCCAGCAGCAGGACCGCTGCCTCCGCGTTTGTGCAAGGAGGAGCAGGAGGAGCACTGCCAGAGCCCTGCAAAATGACCTCCAGCAGGCCACAAATGTGCATGTGTCTGCTCAAACGGTCAGAAACAGACTCCATGAGGGTGGTATGAGGGTCTGACATCCACAGGTCAGGGTTGTACTTACAGCCCAACACCGTGCAGGATGTTTGGCATTGCACCACAGACTGTCCAGGTGTTGGTGGATGCTTTAGTCTGGTCTGGGAGGAGATACCTCAGGAGACCATCCGCCACCTCATCAGGAGCATGCCCAGGCGTTGTAGGGAGGTCATACAGGCACGTGGAGGCCACACACACTACTGAGCCTCATTTTGACTTGTTTTAAGGACATTACATCAAAGTTGGATCGGCCTGTAGTGTGGTTTTGCACTTTGATTTTGAGTGTGACTCCAAATCCAGACCTCCATGGGTTGATAAATTTGATTTCCATTGATAATTTTTGTGATTTTGTTGTCAGCACATTCAACTATGTAAAGAAAGGAGTATTAAATGAGATTATTTCATTCATTCAGATCTAGGATGTGTTATTTTAGTGTTCCCTTTATTTTTTTGAGCAGTGTAATTAAAAATTTGAATGAAATAAAATTAACATCTTCCCTCACTACATGTAACAGAACTATAATTCCGCTGGAATGAAATGCCTAATTGTTGGATGTTAAGAATGTCTCACCTGTCTCATTTCTCTCTGCCAGATCTGAAGCGAGAGGCCAGTATCTGCCACATGCTGAAACACCCCCACATCGTGGAGCTGCTTGAGACCTACAGCTCTGATGGCATGCTCTACATGGTCTTTGAATTGTAAGTCCGTGCTTCACATTGTGTGAGCTGTGATGCAACATTTATCCAGACAAGTGCGTTTCACACTCTTAGGATTGATTTTTTTATCTTTTTTACATGTTATTAACCAGGGCAGGAAACACACCACATCTTACTCACCACGACAACTGCTAATCAGTCCCCCCCCCCCCCCCCGAGTAGAAAATAAGAGATATATATGGCCTATGGAAATTACACAAATCTAACAACTACAGACGCATTTCACCAGCATTTGGCAGATGGTTGCTGCTGGTAATTTCACACCCCAATTCTAACTACCATCCCCCTCACTGTTGTTTCACACTTATTTAATGACCATGACATAAACAAAATTTGAGTGAGAACTAATCCACAGATCTAGTAGACATATAACTGAAGATCTATGCTTATATAATGGTATATTTGCATGTGTTTAGATAGAGAGGGGAAAATAAAGTGTATCGTAATATATATTTCTAAAACCATGAGAAACATTGGGATATATTTTTCCTATATCTCCCAGCTGTATTTATAGAAGTAAAAAAAAAAAAAAATTACTGGGGATGATTGAAATTTTGTCTTTTTTTATTATAACTTTGTTGTTAAAATAACCTGGCAAGTGCTGAAATGCGATTATATGGCAACAAACACAAAATTATAAACTGAATCTAATAGATTTTGCTATTGCTGCCCTGCCTAATTGCACAGTAATGATAAAAAAAAACTGAAAAAAATAAAAATAAATAATAAACATGTTGTAATCTGAAACATCAGTGTTGAATATAAAACCCACAGGAGAGATTGGAGAACTAGAGAATAGGTATCTGCTGCTCCACCCCTACCTTTGTTGTAAATATAATCTTCTTAATCAACTTGCCTGGGTAATTGGTTTCTTCTGTGTGGATTTTATGTTGTAAATATGTATCCCATATCCTCTTGAAAGCTTCCCTGGGAATTGTACTGGCTCAAAAAACTAAAAATATAGTGCCTCTTTGTTTACACTAGTGACAGCAGGTCAAAAAATTGCTCCCTGACAGATGCACTCTGTTTTAAACACTTTTCTAAGCGCTGCTAGTTTGTCTGCTCTTCGGTAGAAAACTTGACTTGCCCCAATTCTGACGTCTGCTTCCCCTTTCTCTTCCTCCTCAGTATGGACGGAGCAGACCTGTGTTTTGAAATTGTGAAGAGAGCTGATGCTGGGTTTGTATACAGCGAAGCCGTGGCCAGGTAGGGGACATAGTCTTGGAGCTGTGGCTAGAACATTTTAGATATTTATCTAGCTTGAAACAAACAACTTATGGACGCCCTAAACTTCTTTGTTACTGCTTTCTGTCTACCCAGCCACTACATGAGGCAGATTTTGGAGGCACTTCGGTACTGCCACGACAACAATGTGATTCATCGCGATGTAAAGGTGAGATCTTTCCCATGTGTCCCAGACTAAGCCACTGAAACCACCAAATGTGTCATCCTACTGACACCAGTTGACTGAGATGGAAAATCTTTTAAGGGTTTTAAATATGCTTTATACCATAGACTTTCATATCTTTGCAGCTCTGAGGTGATGGTTATCTAGACAATCTGTGGGTCTAGATAACCATCTAAAGGTCAAAAGCATTAGTCTGTTTCCTAGAAACTCTCCCCTCAACATCCGCGCCTTATATCAAGTTCTAGGTAATTTGTGGCTTTTGGAATGAGCATTTTTCAAGTCTTCAAGAAGTCTTCTGTATTTTGCAAACCATTGCTGGGTTGTATCACACTTCAAATGCTAGTCTGTTCCTTTTAAGAACTCTTATAGACAGATTAGCATCAACCAATGATTCCATCGGGATTAGCCATGTAACACAGGCCACATTACCAGATGGAGCAGTCCTGAAACAGGCTCTTGATCCACACACTAACCATTTAACAACACAGCCCCCAAAGGGATCAACACAACCTTGTTTTTATTGTAAAATCAATATATGTGTGTGAGCTGGTGGTTAAAACCTGTGTGAAATAGTAATTGCACATTACTGCTGGTGTTTTTGTAATAATAATTGCAAAAAAATGCAAATTTTGTTTTAACATTATTCATCCAATCCATTTTTACCAGTATACACATTTACCTTTTTAAGAAACATTATAACACTCTCTGATAAAATACAAGTACAAACACGACATGTATTCCTAGAATAGCTGAAGTCACAATAGTCACTCAGTTTATCTCCTCAGTCTTTCACTCAGGGAAACTAGAATTTAAACACGGATTTCCCACTAAGCACAGATGCTCAGAAGCTAACACAGTAAGAATAGCTCGGAAGTAAAAAATACATTTATTTTTTTTAACAAAAGAAGTAGGTATGTGTAAAAAGGCTTTACTCAGTTTTAAAGAGAATCGGCATGTACTTCTCCAGTGTTCAGGTTTACATAGTTTGCAGTCAGACAAAACTTGTGATCAGTGTTGACCAGAATGTGGAAGCGTGGTCAGCGCTGTGCTGCGGAGGGTGGTGTTGATGACACAGATGCTTGTTCTCGGGGTGACTGAGGGGGTGTTGAGTTCAGGTTTAGGTAAAGCCATTGGCACAGACTGTCGCCTGAACTCCGTTGTCGAGCTGTTAGATGCTCCGTCGTTTAGGAAGAGAAGCCGGTTGCCAAGACGGTGTCCAAGTGCTTGGAGGGCGGTTTTGCGCACTGAGCCAGATAACAGGAAGTACATTACAGGATCCAAACAGCTATTGAAGGCAGATAATAACAGCATCACCTCATTGGTACGGTCCACCATTTGCAAGTACTCACAGTTTACTGTTGTGCTGAGCTGGGAGAGGATGTAGACAAGGCGAAAGGCGTGGTACGGCCCGAAGCAGACGGTGAACAGAAAGAGGACAAAGAAGGACTTCTTGGCGGTTCGTTGGTATCTCTGTGCGTTGGGAAGGTCCGGCTTGTCCCATGACACTCTCAGCAACTGAGAAGCAATCTTTGCATAGGAGACCACCAGCATGATGAAGATGAGCCAGAACATCAACACCAGCGCCCCGTTGAAGTAGGCTTTCCCTTTGGCTTTGCTGCTACGGTGCTTGTACTGGAAGCATATGTCTTTCTCCTCACTGTCCTCTGCTGTGGCGATCATGGGCACCAGCGCCATCAGTGACATACCCCACAGAACCCCGCACGCCACCCAGCTCCAAGGCCAGACATGACCCCACACCGTCACCCTCATGCCTCTCCGTACTCTGCTTTTCCCCTTTATCCTCAAGTATCTGTCCAAGCTGATGAGCCCCAGTAATGCAATACTGATGTACATGTTCATGTAAAACAGATTCCCCACCAACTTGCAGACTACAGATCCCAGTACCCACTGGTTTCCATTAACATGGTAGAACACCCTGAAGGGCAGACACGCCAGGAGGACCAGATCCGCCACAGCGCAGTTGATGAGGAACACCCGCACAGAGTTGCGTTTTGACTGTAGGAAAAGGAAGACCCACAGGGCGAAAAGGTTACCCACAAGCCCAAAAAGGAAGAACAATGAGTATAGGACTGCGAGCGGCAGGCGGAGGGCCTCGTCATTAATTGAACACAGAGTCTGGTTTGGGGCCACTGAAGAGGTGGAGACGGAGGGAGGGGGTAGAGAGGTGGTAAAGAAGAAGGAAGACATTGAAACAGGGAGGGATGGAGTAGCGATAGGAAGAGAGGAGTTAGACGATGCAGAAGCTGAAAGAGTGAAGGGGAAAGAAGCGGCAGAGGAGAAGGAAGTCCTTGTGGCTGAGGCAGAGGAGGAGGTGGTCATTGTGACTGAGGAGTGACAACTTCAGGGTTGTTCATCAGTATGCTGAGAAAAAAGAAAAACGTTGTCACTGAACAAATACAACTTTTTAAACAGCTAAAATTAAAGGCAAGAAGAAACACCCTCACAGTGACACTGTAGTTACGTATTTTATGAGTAATGCACAGACATAAGTAATATGTGGGTTGTAGTTTTAGAGGTCATCTGTGTAATACTCAGTGTGAAATAGAAATTATAGTAATTTATGTAATGCCTTGAAAAAAGTAAAGCATCCTACAAAAGAAGAGCTCCAGACGCAGGGTATTGAATATTCTGGAAAATGTACAGATGTCCCTCCGAACAGCAGTTCTTTTTTCTATTGTTCATAGATTTAGTTTTTTTATGGGTGGGAGCTGGAGTCAGAACTAACTGAAACTTTCATGCCTATTTAAAACATACATTCCAGTCCCATGGTATTACAGTAAAGTGTAGACACACATGCATGCACACACTCATGCAAAGTCACTCTGACTCCTACACACAGGTGTTTGGATTAAGGGGGACACTCACCATTAATATTCTTTCCACTGGAGAGTCAGCACAGCTGCAGTTTAAATGTGCAATAACGTGCAGAGAAGTGTTAGAGCACAGCAGTCCAGATTTTTTTCCTCCCATCAAGCTGTAACTTGTTTAAAAAACTTGAGTGACATATGTGATAGGATATTAAACTACAGTCCTTGTCCTCAACACTTCCTTTGCCTTCTTCACCTGTCTTCTCTTCAGTCTCTGCAGACGACTCTTTTTTTCACATCCTATTGAAAGTGTCCCATCCTCCTCTCAGCTCTCTTTTTGAGCTTGTCTTCCCTCTTTCCGTATTGGTCCTTGTACTCTCTTTCTTTATTGAAAAGCTCTAGTTATTTTTTTTACCCTCTCCACTGTCTGTTGCACTCACAGTTGGACTGTCTAGTCTGCCGGTCTTCTTGCCTCTGCCTCTTGTTCTTGCTCTCTCTCTCTTTCCCGCCCCCCCCTCCCCTTTGACTGCGTTGCACTGTTCTCGCACCATCTCGGTCAACACCCGGTCCACGCCCCTCAGTTTCTCCATAATGACAAGTGCAAAAATGTGAAGACAGGAAGTGGGGCCCACCACTGCTACTTATTTTCACACACTTGCCGTATTACTGAGCTTCATCTGTCATGCAGCTCTGTGCTCCCCTGAAGTTCCTTTTAGAGTGAAACAACTTAAATTGGCAAGAATACTACATTTTAACACAATTTATTTCTCTAAGGGAGGTGTTTTTAATATTTCATGTACAGATCAGTGACTTTAATCTTGTCTGGAGTGCATACAATATGTGAGTGATTTTCCGGCTCAACTAAAGAATTGATTACAGTCCCAAAAGCACACCAAGTGTTCCTGCTATAATTTAAGTCTTGTCCAAAGAGACAGTTTGCATTCTTAACTGCAGCTCTGAGGTTTTGCATGCAAAACATTTACTTCAGGACATATAATGGACTATAGCATATATATCTGCTGCTTGTCCTCTGACATTTCTCTCAATTTCATTGTCCTCTCTTGTCAGTTTTATAGCACTGCCAGTAATGCAACAGGTTGTTCTCTGTAGAACAAAAACAATTGTCTCTAAATAGCATTGCAAGAACCTCATATCAAATTATTATTATTAATTAATTTTTTACTAAATTAACGTGATTCTTCATCAATAGAATGCGACTTGCTCTACGGCTCTCTGAGAGCCACATCTTTCTGATGAGGAAAAATAATCACGTCTCACTTAATGCTTTTTATCCCTTAAAAGGGTAATACTGTATCCTGTCTGTATCGGCATCATAATAAAGTTGTGGTTATGCTGCGCGACTTGCTGTCGAAGTGAAACCAATGTTCACTTACTATCAAATGAACATGGGATTTTGCACTTCTGCACAGAAAGAGAAAAGCAATGCTTTGCACAGTTACTGTAGATTGCAAAGAAATGTTTTTTTTTTTCTGTCAGTAAAAAGTCATGACAGTTATGAGTTGGTATATTTTGCACAGTGACTCATACAGTTGAATGAGGACCTACGAGGACAGTCCCTTATTTAACCTGTTAAAATATATGGACTATAAATCTCCTCTTTAACTTCTTTTTCACCCACCTTGACCTGTCTCTCTTATTCCTCTGTAGCCCCACTGTGTGCTGCTGGCCTCAAAGGAGAACTCTGCTCCCGTCAAGCTGGGAGGTTTTGGAGTGGCAATACAGCTGGGAGAATCTGGTTTAGTAGCTGGAGGTACAGACTGTTTTTTTTCCCTCTATAACTCAAAAGACTGAGACACAGACACACACTGAAATAATTAGATAATCAGTCAAAGGATGTACAATTAATTAGTTATACTTTTGATATCTGGTTAATTAACTATTGCTTGCTTATTTAAATTTCCACATTATTACAAAATGGATACTTTTTGGCTTTTGGCAGTAAACACTTTCATAATGAGTTTATGGTCTCAGTCGCTAGTTTCAGGTGTTGTTCAATACAAAATGATGTTCATTTAGTACATTATAGTCCCATTTATTTTAAAATAGAGGTGCTACAGGGCGGGATTATCTATGATTAACAAGTGGTTACCATGGCAACCTGTCAGTCAGGCTAGAATTACTTATACCCACGGCACTGTAAATTTAACCAGTGCCGTTGAAAAAGCACATTAGGAGTTGGCTGTTCACTTTCTCTGGTGAGTACATTTAGGCTTTGTTCAGACTGCAGGCCTTAATGCTCAATTCCTCAATTTTTTCCCAGATCTGATTTGATTTGCCAGTTCACATTATCGTTTAAATGTGGCCCATATCAGACTCCAGAGTGAACTGTCCGCGGCCTGAAAGTGACCCGCATGCGCAGAAGAAGAACCCGACGTCACACGCAGCACGCTGTTGCAGGCTACAGAAGTAAACAACGAGCAACAGATGTTAGCTTGCGGGAGAGTTTTTCATTGTCCTCTCACAGGTCACATTTCTCCCGAATTATGACAAGTGTTCACAACTTTCTGTTCTTTTCCATACGGTTTCTGGCGCTGTACAACGCAACTGCCCCACAACCACATATGGAAGTGGCCCAATTCCGAACTGGAAAAGATCAGATTCCATGTGACTTGGCCTGTTCACACTGTCGTAAAAAGGATTTGGGTCACATTGGCCTGCAGTATGAACGTAGCCTTTGTTTTAAGTGTGTTGTTCGCCAGACAAAATTGTCAGCCCAGTTAAAATGACAGTTAAGGCGAATTACAGATGCACCTAGCTAAGTTAGCTAGCTAGCTCCACAAACGGCCGTTAGCTCCACCATCTCGTCCAAATATGGTCACATCCGGGCACTTCCTGGTTGCAAAAACTCAACATGGCGGCGCCCTATCGGCCAAACTCGAAGCTTCAAACAGGTGACGTCACGATGACTACGTCCACTTCTTATACAGTCTATGCTTGTAACACCAGTTCTGTCTCCAGATTTCCACCATGTTTCTATTTTTCATTAACATCTTTGGCTCTCTGCTCTCTTCAGGTCGTGTTGGCACTCCCCACTTCATGGCCCCAGAGGTAGTCAAGAGGGAGCCATACGGCAAACCAGTGGATGTGTGGGGGTGTGGAGTCATCCTCTTCATCCTCCTGTCTGGCTGCCTTCCATTCTACGGCACCAAGGAGCGTTTGTTTGAGGCTATCATTAAGGGGAAATACAAGGTGGGAGCCTACACCATCATCATTGTCTGTCAGTGTGCACGCTGAACATGTTCGTCACTGCACCAAAGCTGTGCCCTATAGCTGCAGCTAAGCACAATAGGATACTCTCCTTTGTCACTGTGCTGCAATGTGCGTCAATGTTGAGCTCCTGGGTTACAAAGAACTGAACAGTACAGAGTGTGTGCTACATCACTTCAGAAGTGTTCATATTTTTTCTTTCAGTTAAATGTAAGTTATTAGTTGTTCAGTTATTGAACAAAAATGTATTATATCTTTACTGTCTTTGTCCTTCTGGCAACAAGACATGTTTGGTACAGCCCTAATTAATTAATGCCTGTACTGAGCTACTTCTGCAATGACCTCATCATACGTATTCCTCATTGTATGTTAAGTGAGTGCATCAAATAGGTAATTGTTACTTACTTCTCACTTTTACAAAAGCCAGTGAGATGTAATGAATAAAGTGACAGTGTCAGCAGAAGATACAGAGATAAAGGTCTCTAATTTTCAGTTGTCAGCTGAGAGTATGAATTTCCTGCTTGGTGCACTAATCTGTGGCAGATGCGGTCACGGCAGGCAGCTTGATGGAAGACACCACCACAGTGTCGTCCATCAAGCTGCTGCGAAACAGCTGCTAAGAAATTCACAGATTTTATTTAGAAAAATATTATCTGTAAATAATGAGCGCTTTCAACACTGCGACTTGGTTTGACAGTCACGTTACAACAGTGATATTCAAAACAAGGATTTATAAATACCCTCATCATTGCTGACCTGGTGATGACAGCTACAGTGTTACAGTGTTTGTCTTTACTGTGTGTGCGTGTGTGTGCGCACTCGTGTTCAGATGAACCCGCGCCAGTGGGCCCACATCTCGGAGAGCGCAAAAGACCTGGTGAGACGTATGCTGATGCTGGACCCTGCTGAGAGAATCACCGTCTACGAGGCCCTCAACCACCCCTGGCTGAAGGTAAGATCTCTCTCACACACACACACCCTGCTAGTAATATGTTCACAGCATGTTAGGAGCTCTCACTGTACATGTTGCTACCTTTAGCAGATTATTTTCCTCTAACTTCTAGTTTTGTGATCATGTGTAACATTTAAAAAAAAAAGAAACCGACAATTAGATGTGGATATTTGATATTTCAACTAAATAATCTTTGACATCTCAAAGTCCCCTTTAAACCACCTGTCTTACAGATGTTGATTTAAAAACTTCCTTTTGTTTGACCACAACTATACTTTCACATCCACTCAGTAACTCCGTATGTCCTCCTCACCGTTGTGTTTATGGTTTGTCCTTGTTTTTATGTGGAATTTTGTGTTTGTGTGCGTGTGTAGGAGAGGGACAGGTATGCCTACAAGATCCACCTGCCTGAAACAGTGGAGCAGCTAAGGAAGTTCAACGCCAGGAGGAAGCTGAAGGTCGGCATTGTGTTGATATTCAACTCTAAAAATTCTACTGACTCAACGCAACTAGAGATGAGGAAGTGTCACCTCCTCTACAGCGTGCAGCAGCTTCTGTTGACTGACCCAGATTAATTTCTTGTCAAATGTTTTTTTAGGTTCTCCGCAGGCCTGTCCCCTTAAGGCCTCATGTACAAACACATACAAAGACTGTATACACGACACAACATGTAAGTCTGTTGAGTTAATAGCTTTATTATCCCTACTCTGTATCTCAGGGTGCAGTGCTGGCTGCTGTTTCAAGCCACAAGTTTAATTCTTACTATGGCGACCCCCCAGAGGAGCTACATGACTTCTCAGATGACCCCACCTCCTCAGGTAAATCACACAACAGAACATAAGAAGCATAAGCAACCTAAAGAAGTTCAACACTCATCGAATTGTTGGATAATAAAACCTAAAGGACAATAAAATAAATAATATGGTGTTACGGTAATATAGTAGTTAATGTGCAAACTACAATTTAGTTTTGCACATGAATATCCACTGATGTGTCATGCGAGTTAAAAGATGAAACACACTACCTAAAGAACATGTTCACTTTCTTGCCTAGTTTCGTTTCTCGTGGTTTCTATTGTAGTGTCTTAATGTGATCTCCAGCTGTCTGCATAGAACTTCCTCTTTTTTGGATGAAGACAGGTGTTTCCCAACAGCCTCACTTCCCTGTCTCAGCCACGGACTTTCAATTCCTTTGATAAGACTGCAGGCTGAATCTGTCAATAGTCATCAGCATACAGAAACCACTTGTGTTCATGTCACAAACTGGAAAATGAGCAGCGTGTTACATCATC